TGGAGTTTCCAGGGCAGCTGGATCAGGGATTCACCCAGCTCTCCATGTGATGCTGGGTGTTACACAGTGAATTCCGGGGTTCAGGCTGTAACCTGTGCCAGCTCAGGCTGAACATCAGAGCATCCTGCATCTCTGCCTCCTCTGCTGTGGTCACTCCAGCTACAAAGGGAMTCACTGCAGGGCTGGATCTGCCACTGGGAGCTCCTGGGGTCTGCAAACCACTGTCAAAAGCCTGGGGGTTAATTCCACACCATCAGCAAACACTTGGTTTTGAAATTACCCTTCCCACACCGCTGAAGGCCCAGGCTGTGTTTTAAGCCGGCAAAATCAATCTTTTTCCTCGGGACCATCAGCACAGGAGAAATGCCCAGGATAAGCCCCATCCCCYGTCCCCATCGATTGTGCACAGAGATTCCACACAAGCTGCAGAAATGATCTCTCACTGCTCAATATTTTTTTTGTGCTTCACCTGCTTTGAATTGTGAATGTTTTGATAAATGAACTGAGAAGTTCCACAGCTTCTCTGCTCCATGGGTGAGCAGCTCAAGGGGAACTGCCTGAATTACAGGGTGATTTTTCACAGCAGTGCTCACTGAATCCCTGCTAAAGCCTCAATGCCTTTCCCTGCTCCTTTATCCTCCGCTGCTCTCACAGCAGCAAGGCACAGATGCATTATACATTTCTGGAGATGGGCTCAACAGGTAAAGTCTGAATTTGGGTATAAAAGCTTGATTTAAGGACTTCTGTCCAAAATCAATGGCTCAGCAAGCAAACATTCCCTGGTAGAAACCTGGAGAAGAGTAGTTAAAAATGGGAACAGCAGCTGTGGGCTTCATGCATCCATCCCAGGAAAGGCATTGGGGTTGGTCTCGCTGGGTTAAGATCCCTTAAATGTACCGAGCCAAAGAACTCATCTGGACATGGAAAATTCACAACCACATAAAAATGGCAGAGAGAGAGCCAACCCCACTGAGCAGCCAAGGGACTGACCAGGAACAGCAGAAACCTGCTGCTAAAATAACAGCATCAACCCCACCAAAATGCCTGGTCAGGCATTTATAAGGATGACTGGCACCTCCCTCACCCCGTTCTACCAGCACTTCTCCATCAGGGTGAGAAGTGTGAGGGCTGTGGAGCTCCAGGGGTGAGCACTCCCAGGAGCTCAGTCCCTCAGTCCCTCTGCTCAGAACATCTCCTCACCTTCTGTTCAGGGTTTTATTGTGGGGCACTTCAAAATCCAAGGCAGGATCTTGGATCAGGAGAGCCAGAGGTCTGAAATGAGCAGGAGTGTTCTCCATCCCCTCTCTGACTGTTTGCAGAGGAGGGAGGTCCCACTGTGCAGCAGTGATGCCGTGTTGGTGCAGCTGTCCCCAGTCCCAATCCCAATCCCAATCCCCAATCCCAATCCCCAATCCCACACCGTGTTCCCCATTCAAGGAGCTGCCCGTGGTTCCCCCAGGCTTTCTGTTCCCCTCAGGAGCAGGGATATTGCATTCCTCATGTTTTCTGGGATTGCAGGAACTCCATCACGGGAGCAGTGTGCAAGGGAGCTCTTCTGACACCAAAGGAGAAGGAGGGACCTGCTCAACAGCTCCTGAAACAAAGGCTCCATTTCTAGGGATCAAAACTCRMCCTTTGCATGGCTGATACACTCAMGGRAAGTTCAGCTTTCTGTYCTTCCAAGTGTCCAGGCTGCATTATTTTAACATCCCTACATGATTATTACATGGTTATATTTAGCAGGTGGCAGCTACTTCAATGTGCCCAAAGTCAGCAAAGCTTTCACCTTCCTGCACACCAAAATCTGGGATTATTGCACTGACAATGAGCTTTGAGGGGCACTTGGAAGAACAGAAAGCTGAACTTCCCGTGAGTGCATCAGCCATGCAAAGGGGGAATTTTGATCCCAAGCCAAAACATTCCACAGGATTCAAACCTCTCTGCAGGTTTAAGATAAAAACTTTTCAAGTTTTCTGTGCTGCCTCTCAGCTGSGAACTCTGACTGCTCAGGCTGGAAAGTTACAGCCACAGCATTTGGGTGATAAAATTCTGTTTAAAGAACTTTTTTTCACAAGTCCTGAGTATGAAGATTTTATTTCAGATGACTCTATTTATGGCTAAAATTTGCTATTCCTTATTAATATTACAGACCACCAATGATCCCTGCTCACAGCTACAGCAGCCTCTCGCTCTTGAAAATGTGTGAAAAATCACAAACTGGCACCAAAATTTAAGAAAAAAAAAAAAAGTTGGAACAATCCCTGTAGTGGAAATGGGACTTCTGAAGGGAAAACTTTTAGCAATAATATTTTTCCCCTTTGGAAAAAAAAAAAAGAAAAAAAAAAGCCACATTTGCCCAATCTAAAACGTTGAGCAGGAAAACAAATTTGGTAAAAGTTTTTTTAAAAGTATTGCTTATAATGGAAGAATGACAAAAATTGTGTGTTACAAAAATTTCAAAACATGTGTGTTTATTCTATTACTGACTTGTCTCTTGTGGATTTCTAGGTTTCCCTTCCTAACCCCTTTTCCAATAAAGCCAGAGGAAATAAATGCATGGAAACAAATCCACAGGAGGGGAATAACCAACTCCTCTCTTTGATAGCAGGTGAGTACTGAGAGCTCCGGTGCTGGCAGAGCTACAAGCAGGGCACAACAGGATCTCAGGGAGCTGGAAATAATTAATGCAAAGCCCTGCAGTGACCTGCAGTGCTGCAGAGCAGCAGMTTTGCCAGCCTTGGTGGCCCTGAGCTCCTTGTGCAGAGCTCAGCAGGCTCCTCTCCCTAATGAGCCTGGGAAAGGCAGGGTTTTGTTCTCTCTGGATGGTGCCTAGGGAAAAGACAAGGATGTGCAAGTTACCATCTTGTTTAAAGGTCAGAAAGAGGAAAAAACTGCTTTTTTTWAGGTGGAAAAACCTCCTCTATTTCCACTGGCACASASCCTGCTGCTGGATTTACTCCTGAGMCACCCACACCAYGAGCTGATGCGATTGTGGTGATCCCTTCTTTCCCAAAGGTAACTCYTCCTGGATCTGGCTGACCTGCTTTGACATCCATCTGCATCTGCAGGACTTGCCCTGGGAAGCTGAACCTGAAATTCTCTCAAAATAAGGAGAATCTCCTAGCCTGGAGCTCCTGTAAAGTGAGGTCTCCTGACCCTCTGCTCTTTCTGCCTTTGAATCCTCTCTGCTTCCATTAATGGGAATAACACTGCCTGTTCCCAGAGGGGATTCTACAGGTATTTTTGTTAACAGCAAAGAATTCTCCTTTTTTTTTTTATTGTCTTTTAGGAACTTCAGCAGAGATGTTGCTGTGCAACAGAAGGTTATTTACAGGGAAGAGTGAAAAGCAAGAAAACCCAAGAGTCAACAACCTGAACATTCTTACACTTGGCTCCATGAGGTGTGACAGGTGAAGCAGTGAGAGCTCTGCAGGAGCCCCCCAAGGGGAAAAATTGGGAATTTGAGCCACAGGATATTCCTGTCACTGCCCTGACCACAGGATAGATCATAGAATCCCAGAATGGTTTGGACTGGGAGGGACCCTAAAGCCCATCTCATTTACCTCCCAGGGTGCTCTCAGCCCCAATGTCCAGCCTGGCCTTGGACACTGCCAGGGATCCAGGGGCAGCCACAGCTTCTCTGGGCACCCTGTGCCAGGGCTGCCCACCCTACAGGGAACAATTCCTTCCCAATATCCATCTAAATCTCCCCCACTCCAGCTTAAACCCATTCCCCCTTTCCTGTCCCTCTAAACACTCATCCAAGGCCCCTCTCCAGCTCACTTGGAGCCCATTCAGGCACTGGAAGGTGATCAAGTACTTACCAATTTACTAATGAAACTCTAATTAAACTTCCATTTTCTTCCCAAATCCACAAGTTACAGAAGAGAGCACTGCAAAGGTACATGCAAATACCCCCATAAATCTAACATGATAGAAATGTGTGTGAAACCACTGCAATTGGAGAGAAAAGAGAAAGCCAGGGAAAGATTCTCCTTAATGGAAGTCAGAGACTAACATCTTGCAAGCTGAGGCAAACTCATGGAAGAACCAAGCAAAGCAAGTTTGTTATCAAAAAACCTTAAAATAAACCTTGCAGCACCAAAAAAAGCAAAGTTTCAGACTGATTCTAGCTACATTCAGTGCAGTCAGGAGCATCTTCCCACTTAACAGGAGTTCTTATCAGTTTGCTTGTCTTATCTCRCTGCTACACCAACAGTAACAGCTTCTCTTTACATTTTAACTCAGGACATGTCAGAGGCAGCGAAATGTCCCCAGAGATGTGAGATGTGAACYCCAAACCTGCACAGTCATGAACATGCCAAAATTAACAATGCTCGCACATCTTTCTGCCAACATATTCCATTCTGAAAGCAAAGAGAGGACTTGGAGACTCCCAGAGTGTCAATCCAAGCTAATTTCAGAAATATTTGATGATGCTTCCCTTTGTAAGCATATGKGGTAGTTCTAATCCATTGAGGCTTCCCATATGGTGATTCCTGTTCTTCTTGCTATCAACAATCAGAGGGGAAATCAGAGTAAATTTGGAAATAAAGGGAACAGTGATTCCAAGTTTCTCAGGATCAACCAGAAAATATTTCACTTTACCAGGAAAACGCCAGGATTTGGAACTGAAGGGCACAGAAGCCAATTTTCAGTAGATTTTCCTCAAGGCTGCCTCCATGTGAGAGGACACACAGCTGCTGGACCTGCTTCTGGGAATCACCAACCCAGACTTCCTGGTGTTTCACAGGAACTCCACAATTCAGGATTAAAGCTGCTCCTTTTTGCCTTCTGACAGATCACAACCCAACATCATTGTTTTTAACATGACTGTTATGAAAACTGCAAAGTCTAACCAGGTGTATTTTTGCCAGAATATTACCTGAATTTAAATATATATACATATTAATCAAGCCACACCCTTTGTTGTTATGAGTCAGAAGTTATGGTAAATGAAAATAACTGCAGATAGGCACAGGCTGGAAGGCACGATGACACACTTGTTCCACCTGCATGGTGCACAGAAAACCAAGCAGAACTTTTAATATTTTTTGTTAAATAACCCCAGAATTCAAGATTCTTGTATAAACATGAGCACACGTGTCAGGCCCCCTCTACCACATCCCCTCAGTCCCACAAACAGCCCAGCCCTTTTGAGCTGCATTTCTACTCCCCAGCGAGCTCTTCTACCAACGTGGAACCTGACAAGTATTAAAATCTATGTTAGGATTAAATAAGATTTTATTGTCACATTGAACTGCTTTGTCAAGAGATGTACATTTTGCAGGTTTCTGTGCAGAATAAAAATAAAGACGGTGGCTGCCAACCTGTCAATTCTGATTCCAGCATCCACACGTTCACACCTGAGCCACAGGTGCTCACAGGTGGTGACTCCACAGCAAGGTCTCTGTTCCAGGGATTGCAACACTCCAAGACAAAAAWCCATCAAATTAAGGCTAATGAGAACAATGTAAAATAGTTAAAACCAGAGCGCTGGATGTTTAAAGGTGGAAACACTCGGTAGAYGAGTGGTAATTTTAACATCTCATTTTTCCCAAAGTTATTTTGCTCAATTTAGTACAGGTAAGGAGAGGGTAATGAACAGACTTCTGCCTATGGATATGATCCAAAAGACCWAAATTTCAGTGTGTAAATTTAAAAWTTTTAAGTGACTGCTTTGCTGTTCTGGGTGTAAACCAAAGAAGTGGCTATTGACACCTCAAAGTGATAAATGCTGCAGATAACCTCATCTTAAAATGTGTATTTTCTCATTTACACATCAGGGATAAAGTCCAATAATACAAACTTCTTAGTGGCACAATTTCACATATTTTGGGCAACGTTAGCATACAAGCAGTATTTAAATAAAAGTAAGTGCATCCAAACATGAAATTCCCTAAATATACCACACTTCATTTATCCCAAACGGCAGTTTTCTGACAAGAGCTGTWATTCAAATTAAAATAATCATTTACATGTTTCACCCAGAGGAAAAGAGGTAATAAACCCAGGGGACTCTCCAAACAATCTTCTCCTACCCTATCCCCTATGTATTACATAAAATAACTCATCTAGAAGCGTAAATCCAATACTCAGATGCAAATAAAATGGAAACAGCAGTCTCTGATGTTTGTAATTTGCAGACTCCAAAGTCCAATCATGATGGAATTTACTACTTCTGTCGGTCATTTACTCCTGTATGTGCACTTCATATTTATGCTAAAAGAACACATGAGACAATAAATGAGGCTAGTGTGGCGTAAAGTCATTGTAAACCCAGTGAAACCAGAATAATTCTATTTATGACATTCATCTGGATGATTTACCAGGCATCCCACCCCCCAACACCCTTTACAGAAAAAAAGGCAACCATCAGTTGAAGTGAGACACATTCTGCTAATAAAAAAGGTCAAACCAAACCCCTCCTCTGATGAGGGCATGCCCACAGAAAGAGGGTGACCACATCTTTTCCAATCAGGCTTCTCAGAATTATCAAAATTTCTTTGCTTGCAAAGGCCAATTTGGCTTACCATAGAAAGCTATTTTGAAGGCGGCTGATATATTTATTCCCTTTCAAAAATTAAAATTCAAGGCATGATAGTGCAAGAGGTAAGTTTTGATTTGAGAACATTATCTGTAGACTAACTGTGCTTAATTACTACATCCCAATTTATTGTCTTAAAGAAAATATGGCAACAAAAGCTACAAGATCTCTATAAATTTCATTTTGCCTAAATTTACCAGTACATCCATGAACCTCATCAGTATTAGTACAACTTGATTATCCTAATGATTCCATTATAAAACTTGCAAAATGTATCACAAGGTGAATAAACCATCTAGTGCAAGTCTTCTACATTTTGTGTGCACAGTAATCCTGTGTAGTTCATTTCCTCCGGGTTAAATCCCCAAAATCTCTCGGTAACAATTATGAAAAAACAGTGTCACGTGGATTTTTTTTTTTGTTTTCCCCCCTATCAAATCTGAGAAGTTTGAGTGTTCCTGGAATCACCATCGGGATGTGCTGAAGGTCGTGACTCCCTTGTCTGTGAGTATTCACTGTCAGATGATTCTGTGGGTTCAAGCAAATTCTCATAATCACTGTCTTCTGATTCATCAACATTGTCACCGAGCGCTCTTTGGGAAGATGGCATGGATGCTCCATTACCAGAATATTTCAATCCTGCACTTGTGGGAACATAACTGGAAGATCCTACTGCCTGAGGCCGAGGCATGAAGACACTGCTCTCCAGGAGCCCGGGGCTGACAGAACTGTCTTGAGTGGTTGTGTTGAAATCCGAGTATGGCGGGGGAGGATCAGACACATCCGAGTCTTCGAGTGTGCAGCCTTCCACAGCAAACCCAGTGTAGGACATTCGTGGAACAAACATGGGCTCCAAGTTATCTGTTGGCATTTGCCTGCTTAAAATKGCCTGCTGCATTCCTGCAAAGCAAAGAACAGGGGGGTATTTAATGCTTTCTTGGCAATGGGCTCCATATACCCACCTTGCCCACCCAGCCCTGTCCTCTCTTCTTACTTTCTGTTTGTTATCAAATGTTCATCCCTGGCATTGTTTTCCAGCTCCAGCACTGGATCCTGTCCCCTCTGCACTACTCATCTTTCATAMTTCTGATTTTAGGCTTATAGAGACATCAATACACTGTCCCCAACTATCACATCAAATCTTGCCTAACACTGCACCCTGCTCTTTGAGCATGACAAACTTCCCTAAATTTAGCAGTGCAGCCATGAACCTCATCAGGATCAGCACAGCTCAGTTATCCCAGTGATCCCATTTCAAATCCAAAATGAGTCAGAAAGCAAATAAACTATCCAAGTGCAAGCATGCTACACTTTCATGGGCACAGTCATCCTGTACAGATCATTTCCTCCAGTTTAAGCTCCCAAAAAACACAGCTACAGGATGTTTCCATAGCCTGCTGCTGTTTCCACCTCATTTTTTCTCACTATTTTTCAGGGTTCAACCTGCCTGCTCCTCTCCACATGTGTCTTGATCAGTACAACTCACATCACTTTTCATCCATGATAACTCATATTTGATATTACATCTTAAAAATATCWCTTTGTACTTTCTCTTCCAATGCCCCTTGTGCTAGGGATAACCTCATGAACACCTGCAAAGAAGTCACCATGTGTTCTTCCCTCAAATTATTATTTAAAAAYTGCACTCACATTAAAAATCTAAACAATGGAATTACAACTGGGAGGAATTACAGCAGGGAGGAATTACARGAATGTGAAAGTCATCTTAAATGAGCTGATTTGGAAAATAATTTAGGGAAGACATGCACAAAAATAATGAACTGCAAAAGCTGCAAAATGAGGAACACTTGCRCCCTTCTGCAGAAAAGAAACTTGATTTATGTAAACTATAAGTATCAATATACATGAGGTGTGCTCAGCTATGGAGGTACAGGTATGTATTATTTTACTGTAGCTGTTAAAAATCCAACCAGAATATATGTAACTGAACACCACAGTTCAAAAAATAGGGAAAACTGGAAAAACTCTACAAAACAAAAGGGCTCATCAGAGATCTAAAACATAAGAAAGGCTGGAATAACTGGGATCAGCAGGGAAGGCTGAGGAGAGTGTTTCATCCTTCAAATGTGCCTAAGAGGCTGCTGCAGAGAGGTAAGTTAGTGTACACTAGRCACAAGGAAAAATGTCCTGGTGGGAACACTGTACTGTTTTGTTAAACACTGGGAGAGACTGAAGTTTTTGCCTGGTTCCTAAGGGGTTATTAACCAACAAACCTGCCAGAGTTGCACTGGCATGTGTAAGGTGATGGACACAATGGGATCAGCTCTATTTACTGTTTCCCTACATTTCTGGAGAAACCCCAAATGGAGGGTGAAGAGTTCCTTGAACCAAGTCACTGAGATGTCTGTTGGTAATAAAAGGAGAATATTYCCTCAAGTGGCCATATAACAGCACTCCATTTCTGGGACACAACAGGAAAACTTCAGTGAAAGATTTCCTGGGATCTGGGAAGTGCACAGCACTCACCAAACCCTGGAACATCCTGCTACATGTACARAACTATTTCAGGATATGGCAGCTAAAGTCTCAACTGCCTTTTACTCTGGACTGTTTAAGGCATAACCTGATAACCCAAAGTTTGTAAGAACACCAAGCTCTCACACAACACTCACACAGGAATTGGAATCAAACGCTGCCTTTTCCTCACTAAAACCAAGAAAATTCTCCCAACATTGAGCAAGTGAGGGAACAGAAGGCCAGATTCAGTAATTAACTACTCACATCTAAAAATACTGCAGAGCTCCACGCTGCATGTTTTCTTGTTTCAGCCCTCTCACATGATTATCTGCTCTGGCACAAATTCTCAGTCCAGCATTTGCATCTCCCTGGTAGTACCCAGAGCTGAGCACTAACTGCTCTTCCTCCTCCTCCTCTTCCTCCTCCCCCAGCTCTTCCCATCTGTGCTGGGATCAGCTCCAGCCACAGTAAATACCCACCTCTGCTTCCCCATAGTAGCAGCTCCCTGCCTACTTCATCTACAGCCAAGCAGGAAACAGCAGTGACTCATTTACTTCCACCTTTTAAATGGTCTTGGGCTAATCCTGGCTCTTTTCCCTTATCTTTGAGGTTCAGAGAAAGAAGAACTTGGGCTGACAGATCAAACTGTGCTCTAAAGTGCTCATGTGATACCAGTAGCTTGGCTGCCTGRTGAAAATTAAAATACCAGTCATAGCAGCAGCAGGCCCATTGCAGAGTTTAGGGTGTTCACCMACCTAAACCAACTTTTAGCATCAGGCACAGCTTAAGGTAACAGGAAAAACAATTTTTGTAACTAAAATGGCAACATTTGGTTATTTTCTTATCATTTCAAAACATGGATAAAAAGAGGCAGTGTTTGCTGAAATATGTAATTTGCGTATGAATTATTTAGGTTTTCATTTTACTCCCCATTTGCCTATTCTCTGCTCTACTCTCTACCTTCATTCTTCCCTTGCACTCACAAATTCAATGAGATCAGCAATGCCTCTTTGAAAAGAACCAAGTGCTTCACAAAACTCATCTACTGCTAACCACAGTCTCCTGAGGCCACACTCAATTTTTAGGAAGGATGGACAGTGTGGCAACCAGCCAACTACGCTCACACAGCAAGTCTCACTCACTCAGGAAATTATGGAGCAAACACCTAAAAGATTTAGTTCAACATTAGAAAATGGTATTCCAATGTTAAACATGTTTGCCATTAAGTCAGCAAAAGAGAGTGGGAATAAACATTTTATAAAACCATGGATACCTCCTGGCCTGTAAACACAGTACCCCCATTTCTTTCCTTCAGAAGGAATCTCTTCACTGTCTAGATTTGTTTTTTCCACTTTTCCTTTCCTACAGCTCATCTTTTCCTGTGTTATTTCCAGAACTGACTTGCTCATTCTTTCTCTACAGTGTTGTCTCTCCYGTTTTTTAAGCTTGCTAACACAGGATGACTCCAACAGAAATACCTGCAACACACACTTTCACAGCTCAGGTGTCATTCAAAACAAATCCATCACATGCCCTTCCCAATGTGGTATTTCTTCCCATGAGTTATCACCAATACAACAATTTTTAACTCCATTAAGCCTTTTGTCCTCACAGCATTTGCTTCTGAGGGAAGAAAAGGTAATTATAAGACAACTTACTTATTTCTTGTTCTTTTTCATTCTTCTTTTGTGCTATTTGCCTTTTCAACTTGTTTACATCAGCTTGAAAAGATTCGACAACACGTTCACTTTTTTCTACATCTATACATACTGCCTGGGAGAAAAACATAAGATATGCTAAGACTGGGCAAAAATATAGGAAATAGTTTCAGGACAACATTTATAAAGCTACTACCAGACAAGAAGCCATTGAAGCACAAAACTAAGAACAGAATTTAACTGCAGCAGTGATATTCAACCTCAAGATTGTTTTTTTACTGGCTGTTGCTGCGTTATAGGAAAAACATTTCCAAGTAATTCATCATGACAGAAGATTTGTAATAAGATCTGAAGCTGGTTAGTGTCCCATTTCTGGAAGTGTTCAGGATGGATGAGGCTTGAAGCAATCTGGGATAGTGGAAGATGTCCCTGCCCATGGCAGGAGGTAGAATGAGATGACTTTTAAGGTCCCTTCCCACCAAAACCATTGTTTTGTGATTCTATGAAATTAAGCATTGGTCATGCTCATTAATCATGATCAGTTTTGAAGAGAACACTTCTGGGGATGATGACTCCACCATTGCCCTGAACAGCCTGTTCCCACGCCTGACARCCCTCTCAGTGACAAAATTGTTCCTAATCTCCAACATAAACCACCCTGGTGCAACTTGAAGTGGTTTCAAGCGGTTACCTGGGAGAAGAGAGCAATAATGTCTCCCTTCATCCTCCTTTCCTCCAGGTTCAAGAATCCCATTTCCATTTTTCCAGACAGTAATTCAAATGACAGCAGGAGCACAAAGGATAGCCATGTTCTTGGCAAGAACAGCATTACAGAATAATCCATTAGCTAATGGATTCATCTCTGAAGATACATTTTCCTGTCCCCTGAAGCTGCCATGCCAAGTGTCTGCCTTACCCACCTTTCAAAGAAGGCTGGAAGCAGCAACTTCCCAGTGAGAAAGAGCAGCTCCCCACTGTGCAGGCAGGGTCAGAGGATGGTTGGAGGGATTCCTGCCTTGTTCCCTGCTCCAGGAGCCAACCAGCAGAGCTGAGCTGGAGCAGAGACACTAATCCCCCCAGGGCAGATGCAAAGGGAAAGCCTGGGAACAAGCTGTGACTGCAGCACAATTAGCAGATGTGTGAGCTCCCGGGGCTGCACAGCTCCACTGCTCTTCACACAGGACAAGCTGTGAACTGACAAGCTCACAATGAGCAGAGCTGACACTCCAGGCATTTTCAGATGCTTTGGCACATTTGGAGCAGGATTCACTCATGCTCCACACAAAATGTTCACAAGTTTTAACTAACAGATGGTGCTCTGCTCATGCTCTATACCCAGAGCCAGGAGTCATTTTTAAACCTCTGCAAATCCCTACAGCCTTCAGCAGGGCTTCTCTTCACTGCTAACTCTTAAAAATGACAAAAAACACTTCCCATAAATCACTAAGTATTAAATAATTTACTTGCAAAGGGGAAAAGATTGATGATATTCGCACCAACCACTTGCACAGAAGCCACTTCAAATGCTCACATTAAAAAGAAAACGAAACATTTAATTTTAAAGTCAGACTTATTTTCCTACAGTTCATGATAATTGTTTATGAGCCCTAGAAATCTCCATCTCTTCCACTCCTGGTTTAACCAAAGGATGAATAAAAATGCCACACACATACATCCCAGGCAGTATGGAGTAAAGGATGTTACCTGTACTTTTTCCTGAAGTGCATTATAAACCTGATATATAGCCCTGATGTCCTTCATCACTCCATCTTTGTCAAAAAAATCAGTACTAAAAATGAAAGCAAAGCAGAAATCATTAGTTAGAAAAGATAACAAAGGTTTCTAGCTCATGCTGTCTTTGAACAGCTGTTAAGCAGTCTATCACTGTATTTTAAAATGTATTTTATTGCTAAATATGCTATTTTAGCAATAATATATTGCTAAGAGTATACCATACTGTCAAGAACGAAAAATTTGGACAGCAGTATGTTCAATACCAAAATTCCTTCTGGAACAATAAAGACTCATTTGAATGAGATTTAACTTGTGCCAAAATCTTTAAGCTTGTATAATTTCATTGTTAACAGTCAGAAAAGCTACTCTGAATTTATGGCATTTAATTGAACATACTTAAGAAAAACAACGAGACTTCAATGCTTCTGAGTTCAAGTTTTAAACCAAGCTTGCACACAGAATTCCTTAGGGAGGTGGGTTGTGGGTGGAAATCAAGTCAGAAGCATCCAGCCAGCAGGGCCCCAGCATGGACTGGCCACACCAATTCTGCTTTTCTGGAGTAAAAAAGATTCAATTCTAAGCAGGAAAAAAGCACACTAGGAACTGACCACTCTCCTCCAGATGCAGTTTTTTGCTGCTCAATATGCACATTTGAGTATTGTCTGGGAATACAGAGTTAGAACTTCATGACTACTTTATTTACAAAGCAAAGTCCTTACCCGTGTTCCTTAATAACTTTGGCATAATTCTGAGAAGTATTTGGCACTGAAGAAACTTTGTATTCCTGTTGACTAGTGTTGCCTAGATTAGGAATAGTAAGTGACACCCTTTGATTATACCTGCAGAGAAAGTTTAGAAAGATTTCTTAATTCATTTTTCAAAGATTCTTTATAAAAGCATTGACATTATCTCATCCCTCTGATAATCCAAACCCATCTAATTTTAATGTTTTTGCATGAAGTTTGTTGTAAAAGTTGTTGAATATTACAAGCTGTGTTCAAAACAAATGCAGGATCAAAAACTATCTTAGTACAGAGCCATTTCCACACCTCTTARAACCTATGAAATAGGCACTCAAACTACCAGAGATACATTCAGATCCTCTATAAAAAACAGGGTATTGACATCTGATACCTCTTAAAATGGATCTTTTTTTTATCTGATGATTTAAATTGAGACTGAGAAGAATTTTTCCTCACTTCAACTTTAATTAATAAATTATTTGCACAAGAGAAAATGGCTGTTACTGCTAACAAGTTTGCCCCAAGCCATCACTGGTCAAACGCAAACCCTTCTTCAAGTACAACTGTACAAACTCCTAAATAGTTTAAAGAAYAGCAGGAAGAAGCAGAACAAAGAATGAGGACTGGTTCATTCAGTTTTCTTACCTTCGGTTTGGTCTAAAAAGCACATATTCTAAAGCATGTGTTGAGTTATTTGCAGTGGAAATGAAGCTGAAGAGAAGGAAGACAAGATCAGGCACTCCAAGGATGTGTGTCAGCTGTTTATGAATGATGTGCTCTCTATATGACATCTGCTGCTGGGTGTTTCTCCTAAATCTGTACCATCCAATAACGTTCTGTAATCAAAGTACATTAGAAAAAAAAAGACACAGATTTACCTTGTGAGAATAAAGGGGCTAAAACTGTGGTATCACAATTACMCAAAAGCTTCATGACAATGAAATTCCTCAAGATTTGAGTTTGAGAGGGTCAATACAGCCCTACATTTTTGGTCACCTGCACTGAAACCCTTTGCATTCCTTCAGGGAAATTAGACATTGCCCCCAGTTTAATCTAAGCACCACAAATCCAACAACTTCTGTATGGGATAAGCCCTGGATCAAAACAAACTATGAGATTTGGGGAGGAAAGTATTTATTCTAGTTAACTACCTTGGGTTTTTTTGGTTTTTTTTTTTTTCCTAAACCACTCTTTCCAGTGCCTACAAAAGAAAGAAAAGATAGAAAACTTACTTTTCTTCGGTCTTTGAGAATTCTGTCCAAGCTCTCCTCATTAACTTTGCCTGCRTAGTCATAAAAGCTTGAACAAAAAGGAAGAGAGAAAGGTGGGTGCACAGTTTACAAACACACACTATAAAGTGTTCTTCACGTAGATGGTATTCTAGACAATGCAAAGCAATTTTCAGAGTTTTACTTTTACCAACAGAAATGCACTGTGTAATTTTACTTTGACCACCATTCTGTAAAACCCTGCTTTGATAATCAGAAGCCTACCAGCCCAGAAGAAATGAAAGCAGGGCCATTTTACATGAAACTCCAAATCCATTTCTTGAGCTCCAAACCTGCAATTACACCCACATGTTTGGACCCTTGAAGCCAAAAGAGTCAGCAATAATTTAATGTATCATGGTCTTTCCACATGATTCTGCTTCCACAGCTGAGGCCCAAATCCTTACATGTTGTTATTTTGTGGACATGACAGATTTAGGAATTAATAAATCTACCTACACAGTCAGGTTTAGAAATTCAGGTAGATCAGAGTGCATGATAAAAGGGAAAACATTTGGAAAAGATTCTCCTTGGACTTTTTCAAGAGCTGATATCACTAACACCTAAAGCAGTGCAGGAAAACACTCTGCTTTAGGGGTATATGACCTCAATTTTGAGCTGGGAAACAGTAAAAACCCAACAAAACCTGAGCTCAGTATTTGGCTGGTAAATAAAGGTGGAAATACTATTTGCTTCAAGGTGTAAGTTATTGAGAAAATTCAGACTACAACCAATGACTAATATGAGACACTGTGTCATATTTGCATAGTCTTTTCAGTTCATTATTGCAATATTTATTCGTACATCCTGGTTAGCAATGGATATCCAACTCTTTCTCTGTCTGTGCTTTATGGGAATAATCAACACCATGCTCTGGYCCTGATAAAAAGCGTATGAGCAGTGAGAGTTTCTGGTGCTCTGCAGTAAATGAATTCATCAGCTTTCTTGAACAGCAGCACACAGTGAGATCCTGCCTGCTCCCCTTCCTCCATCAGCTCTGGCACTAACAACCAATTCCTTGCCTGGGGGAAGCAGGGAACGTGATCCGTTTGGATATGTGCTGCACAAAGCATCCCTGGGATCCAGAAGGAGCTGACCAGACACTGGGATATTATCTCCATGTGTGCAGTCTGCAGCATTTAAATCACTGGGTTAAGAGTACACTCTCTGTAATTATCAGCCAGCAAGTGACTGACTGCAGCTTTTCTCTTTAATGCAACCAATGTCAATCATAATGTCTGAGCTACTGTGTCTTCTTAATTGGCTGGAAATCTCTCAAGACAAGAGGAGATTAATTGGGAACTCCTTCTCAAAAGGAATTCTAGACGGCGCTTTAGAAGCCATCACTGTGGAACAAGTGAAGACTACAGAGAAAATCTACATGYAAATAGATGGATGCTGTTAAATAGAATATATTAGCCCCATATTTAATTTAAATTCTGGAGTTCAGGAGATCAGATGGCAAAAATAATTAGGAAGCTGAAAGTTTCAGATTAATTAGTTGGTGYGGGTGTGTACCACTAAATACAAACCAACTTGTTAACCCAGCAAGTTACCAGGGTTAGGGCACACAACGGGTGCTGTGACCCACCAGGCCCAGGCAGAGCCACCCTAAGACTACAATAATTTAAATTGATTTTGACATTCATCCTTATCATCAGAGTGATGTGAGCTGACCTGACTACTATCCTATCTCAGCCTGTTAAACAAAATGGAAATCCAARCAGAGAGAGAAATAAACCCCTTTCAAGCTGCTACTAAAACCGTCAACTCCCACTTTCATTGTCATGGTTGGTGCCACTTCCATGTGYTGCTGTAATACCATCAGATGAGCAAACACTGGCAGGGATATTTGAAATGCTAATWTATTGCAGGGAGCTCCCTATTTTTATATTCTGCAGTCAACACAGCAAGACAACAAAAAAGCTTACCTAAAGAGTTTTGAACAAGGCTCATGGTTATGGATTTCTGCAACAACAAACAAACAAACAAAAAAAAAGTGACATATGTCAAACTGCTCCAGGCAAAGAGAAATTACAGTGGCATATCTTGCATGAGCTTTCCACATCAGAGCCACTGAGCAAGAAACATTCATGTCAGACCACACACTGCCCTTAATGTCTCAACAACACTTGATGACACAGCACCATACCCAGAAAACTGGCTTCACTTTTTAATTTCTCACTTTACATAGAAAAATATTTTAATAAGCAAGGCATACACTTGCTCAGATACACAGGAATTTATCTGAGCCTCAAATACACTTTTGATACTATGTTATAGTTGCAAGCTCCTCACAAAGGCATTTCAGATTTTTGTTTTCTTTCTGTTATGCCTTTCCACAACAGTTTAYTTCAATTCATATACATTGTTTCTCACAGCAGCAATGAAGAAAAAAAGGGACGGGGAAGGGAAGCACTGAAAYACTACACATTGGAGTGTTTAAAGAGGCAAGACAAACAATCTCTAATGAGAAAAGGGGTTAAAAGCAATTTCAAAACATTTAGTTGCACTTTATAATTCTGTTATATGAAACATTAAAAAGTCAGAGCAGTGTTTTTTCACTGAAAGGTTGTAATAAATACTAGGACGCTTATTCAATCAGCACATGTTGTAACATGTCAGTAATCTCAGAGAAGTGTGAGGAAAGAGTAAAAATCCAATCCACATCATCTTTCCAACATCAAGCACAACTGATTTTTTTAGGGGCTTGGAGCAACCTGCTCTAGTGGAAGGTGCTCCTGGCCATGGCACAGGGTGGAACTGGATGGGTTTCAAGGTCCTTTCYAACCCAAACCATCCTGGGATTCTGTGATGACACAGCACAAACATTTCCAGCTCCTCCACCAGAACCCCACTGGAGTGTTTAGCAATAACTTTGTTGAGGCTCTGCCTCCGTGCAGTGACTCACCACCTGCTGCTCTGGCAGCCAYGGGCTGCTCAGGGTTGCCATCTCAGCAGAGGCACCAGCGGATGGATCACAACTCCCAAGAACAGCAGACAGAACACACTCACATCTCAGCACATTTGGTGTCTATCAAAACAAGGCCCTGAGCATCCATTCCAGGCACACTGCCTGAGAAACTGCACATTCTCACTGGCAAGAACTGCTCAGGATGCTGCTGTTAGAGTTACTGACTTCCTTTATTTGAWATAAAATTGTATCAACCCTAATATTTTCACACCATCAAACAGGAATCTGTGGAAACAATCTGCTAACATAGCCTGTAAGCACAATTACTCCAGCTCAGATCAATTCCTTTCCAGCAAATATACTGACTGCMACAACATTCTTGATTCTTGGATTCTGATCTTGCAACASAGTCCCTGTGTTTTGAAAAACAGGAAGCAAGAAGCYGCCTGCTCAGATCACATGAAGCAGCCAACATTTTAAATTTAAGGTYTACACATACATATATATAYRTAGTTCACATACTMTGTACAYAATTWTATACKCAAACATCACCACTAAAGAGACCCAAAAGAAGCATAACACTCATCTGTGACAACAGTGCCACAAAACTGTCAATCTTGTGAGCTGAACTGGGAGTTCAAGGGTTAATGTTGATGAATAAATATTGAAGTTAAAATGGCAAGCAAAAAAATATCCAGAAGATCCCCAGGAGTGGGTGATTTCCATTTKCATAACGTAACTGTAACCAATAATATGACAAAGCAGTGATCCTAAAGGGGAGCAATTTTTAACCCCACAAACACTTGGTTTAGGAAACCAGGCCAAGGCTGCAGCTGGTGACATCACTGCCAACAACAACCAAGATCAGTGAGCACTGAAGAGCAAGGTCYAATTCAAAAACTTAAAGAAGTGACTGCCTCTCTCAGTTATGTCTGAACACCCATAGCCATCAGCAACATTCTGATACAAAAAATACYACGCCTTTATTTTCCATAATTTAGCTCATAATTAAGTGACACTTCACACTCAATTTACCACCCAAATTCTCTTATGAATAACCAGAACAGAAAACTACTCAACCTTCTGGAGTCCAGAGCACAAAACCATCMCCACTCCAAGGTGGGAAGTCTCTTGAGATGTAACATGGTAGCACTCCACACGTTCATAGATCACCTGTTCTGTGTCAGAGTAACATCTGAGAGTCAATCCAAAGCTGTTTGTGTATTCCTTGAGCCTTATGCACACCCTGCTTTGTTATCTGGGATCACACTCGCAAAGCCAGACATGGACATGCTTGGGTTTTTAAGAACGTTTAAATCTATTTTAACAGCTGGTYATATATACAGAAGCCAAAAGGCAGCTTCTTTCAGGGCTCTCCTATTTTCTATAAACCAAACATGCAATAGYTTCTCACTCATGTCTAAAAAAATCTGCTTCAACCAGCACTTAGAAGCAAGATCTTTGATCTTGGTTCGCTTTTCACAACAGATCAGCTTTACAGAACTTGTGCTTATCAATAAATTGTCTGACAAGTATTCCTTGTCCAGTCCTGCTGTGACAGTTTATGATGTTACCAACTCCCAGTCATCCATCCAAACCTGCTACTGAAAATCAGTCCCTTTCAGCATCAGCAAATCAAGCAATGGACTCATTTTATTTTGAGCACATGCTGTATTTAGGCAACTGTATCAAGCAGGAAACCCCCCACAGTAATTTCTCCATCATGGAATGCAGATAAATGTCTTCAATAAACGATCTTTCCTCTATAAAAGGAGATGCATAAAATCCCCTGTAACTTGCAAGGATTTGTTTCCCTTCCTCACTTCTCAACCACAAACACAGACACTGTGGCAAACGTGATCCTGAAAGTCTGACAACACCCTGTGATCATCTCACAAGTGAAGTAACTCTTAATGAAATCTCCTGAAAACTTGAAACCTGAGCAGTGTCTGTTTCAGAATGTCTCAAAGTTACATCACTTACCAATCACTTGTAGAAATTCAGTGTTGCTGATCTGTGAATCACTAATGCTAAAAGTCTCTTCTTGCCTCACCTCTCCCAGCAGAAATCCTTCCTGCAATTTTAAAAGAAGAGTTTAAAAATAGAAAAAAAAAATTCCACTATAAGCACTTATTTACTGTAACTTTCTTAGCTTGAAACTGAAATAAAGATGAAGTTTGAAAGACACATCTGAGSTGGGTATAACCTGCCCTGAGCCCTTATCAAAACTGGTTTTCTGCTTTGCCAACATTCTTCTACAATGCTAMAGGGATGGGCTGTACAAAAGGAATATTTTACACACAACTTACATAAGGCAAACACATCACAAAAGGGAGGGTTCTGCCCCAGCCCCAGCTACAGGGGAAAAGGAGGAGCCCTGAGCATGACAGTGCTTTGCTCCTGCAAAGCCAGGGTAAGTAGAGTTTATACCTGCAGGGACTTACACAAATTTTAGTGTGGAGACTAGGCTGGACCCTAAAAAACATCATGGATTGTAAAACCCAGAAGGCAATTTAAAACTAAGGCAATTTAAAGGTAAATTCATTTATTCTCCATCCCTACCCAAAATGAGGAAGGAGACTGAGCTGGAATCAGCAGGTTTTGGCACAAGGTGCAGCGAAAAAGAGCAAGCTCAGGCTAAAAATGTGCCAGCAAAACCGAGGGATTCGGGAACASCCGGCTCTGCACTGCGCCCGTGGTCAGTCGCAGCTGCTGGAAAACCACTGACGGAGCTTTTACAGGCGCATTTTCCACCCACAACCAGTATCCCGCGGGAGCCCCACCCCGCGGGGAGCAGCCCGGACACCCCACATTCCAGCCGGGCACTCTACAATCCGGGGAACAGTCCGAMCACACCACATCCCCAAGGGAGCACTGCAGGCATCCCACATCCTGGGGGGGAGCATCCCGGAGACCCCACATCGCGCTCAGACAGCCCACATCCCGCCCAGACTGCCYACATCCCGCGGGGAGCAGCCTGGACACCCCAAACGCCGGGAGAAGCGCCTCGGGCACCCCACAGTCCAGGGAGCAGCCGGGACATCCCACATTGTACCCGGGAGAGAACAACCCAGGCATTCCACATCCCGGGCACCCCGCGGAGCATCCCGGCCGCTCCACACACCGGACACCCCGCATCCCGCCCGGACACCCCGCATCCCGCCCCGCTGTGTCTGTCTGGGGCCGCCCCCGCCCGCTGTGACCCGCGGCCGGGCCCCACCGGCGGCGGCGCGGCCCGGCAGCCTCGCAGCGCAGCCGCCAGTCGGAGTGCRGTGTGAGGGAGCCCCGCGGGACCGGGGCGGCGGCAGGGGACACGTACGTGGTCGGCGCTGCTGTTGGCGCTGCAGTAGCACACGGAGCTGAAGGTGTAGCCGGAGATGGACGCCGCCATGACGGACACACCGCCGCCACCGGCAGGGCGCAAGCGCGCCGGACGCACGCCCGCTTCCGGCGGCGGCGCGGGGCATCATGGGGAGTGTAGTCCCGGGGGGAAGCGGGGTACCCGAACGGGAAGGATGAGAGCTGTGCGAGCGAGACATTGGAGCTCTGAGTGAGGAACAGACCTCCGAGACCACCGAGCCCAAACTGTGACCGATCACCACCTTG